TAGATGACATGGCAGCTGTTGTCTCTGGTCAATCTTCTTGTATCTGTCTTTTAATGCATTTTTATTATAGTCTCATGATGCTAAGAAGAAGTCAATAGTAATTAAATGGTACCAGTAATTAAACTGGTACTTTGTTTTGTTATTGCAATTAGCGGCTGACAAGCTTTTGACACTGTTGAACTTCATTGTATTTTTATTAGTAATTTGGTATTTGTATCTGGCCTTTAAAAAGTTTAGTTCACATGCAACATTGATTTTTTTTTTTGTCATCTTTGTCATTATTCACCAGTCAAGACAGCTAATGTGATGTATCATACTTCACTGACAGTTAGTCAAAGAACAAAACTTCTCTAGGAAAGATTGGCCAGAAAACTTTGGTTTGTCAGTAGCAGCATTTTCACAGTCTTTTTTATGGTTCCTGCAAGAAAAAGTTGAAATTCTGTCACTCAAATAAGTTGTATATCTTTAAAATGTGAAGGAAACTATAAAAACAGAGCTACAGTTCATAAAATTTATAGAGTCATCTGTTACTTTCTCATCTTCAGTAACTGCAAGAAACCTAAGTATGTGTTGCTCTGGAATGGATTAAGACATGAATACCATGGGCATGACTCTCCTCCATCATGTGATATACACTGAGTCCCAGCTTCCTTCTTTTATTCTTTCATGTTCTCCTAGTCTTGTCTTTTCTCTCTGTCTCATTCTTTCCTTTTTTATTCTTTTGGCACAAAGTAGATGAATCCATGGAATTTTCTCAGTTTTGCATATCCCAAAGGTGGGTGCAGTGTTTGTTCATTCTTATTCTAGATCAGTGGTTCTCAACCTTTGGGCCATGACCCACAGGAACTGTATTAAAGGGCCTTGGCATTAGGAAGGTTGAGAACCACCGTTCTAGATTAACTTTGTAGAAAAGACACGGGAAAATTGGTGGTAAGTTATATTCTAGTTAAATGCAACAGCTAATGAAATATGTTTTAGTCATTTAATACATTATGCAGTATGTTTGCATAGTGTATAAAATGGTATTTATGTAGTTAGGCTCTCTTTTGCCTGATAATATTTGAATAAGAAAAAAAATGAATTGAGGCTGGGCATGGTAGCTCACATCTGTAATCCTAGCACTTTGGGAGACTGAGGCAGGAGGTTTGCTTGAGGTCAGGAATTTAAGATCAGCCTAAGCAAGAGCAAGAGTGTATTGCTCCAAAAAAAAAAAAAAGAAAGAAAGAAAGAAAGAAAATATTACCAGACATTGTAGCACACACCTTTAGTCTTAGCTGCTCATGAGGCTGAGGTAGGATAGCTTATGCCTAGGAGTTTGAAGTTGCAGTGAGTTACGATGATGCCACTGCACTTTAGCCAAGGAAACAGAGCAAGATCTATCTTAAAAAATTAAAAAAATTACTTGAGTATAGCTGATTACAATTTTTTGCCTTAACACATGATACACATAACATATATTTCTTCTCTCTTTTATATTCTCTGTGTATTGTTTCATACATGTACCTCCATTAGATTACTAAAAGTAAGAATATTATATTTCTTATGGAATAGGGAAGTTTTAGAAAATATTTAATTTTTACCATTTGAAAAATGTACCGTATAAGCATGGTCCTTCTCTATTCAAAGGTATAGTATTCCTGGCAATAAGCCAATGTATGCAAAGAAAGGTCACCTATTATTTCGCACAAAAACAAGTTTTACAGAGTAAATTTAATTATAACTATTGATCAAGTACAACAGCGAGCACATTCCTTACTAAAAATGGGCATCCTTTTTTGATTAGCCTCCTTGTTTAACTTTAATAGTATGCTTTAAAAGTCAAATGAATAAGTAAACAAAAGTAACCTAAGGGGTTTCTTTTCCCATCCATGGTATGGAAAAACTGAAATTAGTAAATCTAACTGGGATAGTGATTTACAAACTTTATAAGTGATACAGTCTTTTTCTTTTAATGAAATCTAACTGTGATAGACATTTAACGTATAATACAGAGAAAAATGAAATCCATAGGGGGCAATATATATATATATATATATGTATATATATATATATATTTTTTAACTTCAGACTGGAACTCATATGTGTAGTCATTTAATGGGAATACAAACTTAATCTTATTTTCTAGTTTATAAAAATTTTTACTTGTATCATGTTAAAGTGTGCCTGTTGTTTATACTCCATTATAAAAGAGATTCAAAAAGAGATATTCCTATCATTCTCTACAGGACTTCTAAAACAGGGTCTTTGGTTTGTAATTCATGAAGGAAGAAGGTTATTTGCATAGCCTTAGTAGGAAAGGAAAATAGCCATGGAAATAAAAATAAAGGAGTCCAAAGTAAAATTAAATTTGAAGGAAAAATTTTTAAGATTTGGGAAAATAAATTTAACCTAGCCCCAAAACTAGTGTAGGCCTTCTGTCTCTCCTTTTATAACACTCTGTATTGTTGATTATTTGTTAACTGTCAGTCTGCCTCTAAGAAATATATGTGTATGTTTTGTGAACTAGATTCAGGTTCCTGAAACATAATCTTCAGAAACAAAAATGATAAATTCAGAGTATTTTTTAAGACAAATTTTGTTCTTAGATAAGTTTTTGGTCCAGGACAAAATCGAGTAGAAGGTACAGAGATTTATCCCAGACATCTACACATGTATAACCACCCCAACTATCAACACCCCCCACCAGAGCAGTACTTTTGTTTCAATTCATGTACTTACATTGGCACATCATTATCATTCCAAGTGCATAGTTCACATTAGACTTCTCTTGTGCTTTTATGCTTCCTATGAACTGGACAATTTTACAATGAACATGTATCCACAATTATTGTATCATCAGAGTATTTTCACTGCCTTAAAACTGTTCTGCCTTCCACCTATTCATCTCTTCTTCCCTTCAGCTTCTGGCAAGTACTGATCTTTTAACTGTCTCTATAGTTTAGTTTTTTACAGAATGTCAAATACTAGGAATCATAGGTATGTAGCCTTTTCAGATTGGCTGCACTCACTTAATAATGTGCATTTAAGTTTCCTCCATGTATTGTTATGGCTCAACAGCTGAATTCTTTCTAGTGATATCCAGACTATTCTCGTGTCTAGATATACCACAGTGCGTTTATCCATCTGCCTTCTGGGGACATTTTTTTTGCTTCTAAATCTGGGCAATTATCCATAAAGCTGTTATAAATCCATGTTCATGTTTTCATGATAAATGAACAGATGTTCAAGTGAAAATATTGAAGAATCATCTGAACATTTATGAGTGACAATTAGTAAGCGAGTTAAAAACTAGTCAGTTTTCTGTTTTCAAATTCTTTGATGAATATCTCCACGTACAGATACATAGGCAATATTAGGTTTAAGGATCGCACAGAATAGTGAGAGAAAGGAGACATATAAACAAATAATCTTAATATAAGAAATATCAAAATGTAAGCATTATGTTGTTATAATCATTTCCTAATGAAGGAGGGAGAGGGTGTCCCAGAACTGATGACCCTTACAGTGAGTGTTGAAGGAAGAGCAGGTGCTCTTAAACAGATGATGAACAGTCATTTAAAGACCAAGAGTTTAAGAAAGACACAGAGTAGGCTGGTTTTGAGGAAATTTAGCTAGAAAAACAGGCTGAGCAGACAGGGAAGTTTAAGTCCAGCTAATCAGTTTGTAATTTTTCTTATGTTAGTTATAATCACTGAACAATTTTAGCATAGATATGATGTGAACAAAGAATTTAGAAATATAATTGTGTTGCCTCTATGGTACAAAAGGTGGAAGAGAAGATGACATCCCCAGATACTTGGAAAGCTGGTGAGAGAGTGATCTGTGATTGTGAAGTAGGAATGTACCATAGGCAAGAGAAAGATTCATGAGATATTGAAGAGGGGGACTTTTTAAGACAACTCTGTATAATTGATGGTCATGCATGGGAAAAGAAAGAAGTAAAAATCATTGGAAATCAAGAAGAGGAGAATGGGGAGGAGGCGAGGGGTAAAAAACTACCCAACAGATACAGTGATCACTATTTGGGTGATGGGCACACATAGTATCCTGATTAAAGCATTATAAACACTATTCATGTAACAAAAACAGTTGCACTCCCTTAATATTTTGTAATAAAAAAAATCCAATAGTATTGTTTATCTTATCCTCAGTTCTCTTTTTAAGAATATGTTAGGACTGATGTGATTTCTAAAAATCATAGGACCAGAGAAAATATATAATAGAAATGCTACTGATTTTGTGTCACAATTAAGACTTTTTGAATTCATTTTCTATATTCCTGGACCAGAGTCCCTTAAATATTATTGTTTTGAAATACTTATTGTATTTTACACTTGAAATCTATTGATAGATCTCATGTTAAATGTTTTTACTACAATAAAGATATTGTTAATTTTAAAATATACTTCATAGGCCCAGGTTTTGAACTTCTATTTTATGTTTTGCAGTTAACATCAAGATAAAAGGGACATAGTTTTCACTGAGAAAATTAAGAGAATCAAAATTAAATTGAATATATTTTATATCAAAAATATTAAGAAATGACATGGTATGTGAAAGGAAAGAATAAATAAAATTCTTCAGCACTTCTTAGGTGCTGATCAGGTATATTGGTATATTCTGGTGGTGCACAAGTGTGAAGATGAGAAAGAAGTAATTAAATTTACAAGCACTAAATTCATTAATTGTTGTTAATTAGCAATTTGGATTTTTCACATGAGTAAGTTTGTTAGGAGGTTATTGTCTTTTGTAACTGTGGGGTAACAATTAGCTAATAAGATGTTTAAGAATAAATTGAGATATTGAGATAACAGATGTAATTACAACCAGAAATTGAGATAACAGCCAGGTGATTTACTATGGTTGCACCACCAATAACTTGATCAGGGGGAAATAAACTGAGAAGATTTTAGAAACCATTTGGCTGCTATTTTATTGTCAGTGTAATTGTGTGTGGACCTGTGAGTGTCGATTTGCATATTTTTGTCATTTAATTTCAGTTATGACAGTGATAGCTGGTGCCCACCATTACCAGTGCAAACATACTTACACCAAGGTATGGAAGATGAACTGGAAGAAGACGATGATAGAGTCCCTACACCTCCCGTCCGAGGTGTGGCTTCTTCTCCTGCTATCTCCTTTGGACAGCAGTCCACTGCGACCCTTACTCCATCCCCACGGGAAGAGATGCAACCCATGCTACAGGCTCACCTGGATGAGTTGACAAGGGCCTATCAGTTTGATATAGCAAAGCAAACATGGTAAATATCTTTACTAAGTCAAGGGAACCATGCTTTCAACTCATGGAAATATTCTTTCATGTGAATTCTCAGGAGATTTTTTTTTTCTTTGTAGTTTTTGGCCGGGGCCAGGTTTGAACCCACCACCTCTGGTATATGGGGCGGGTGCCCTACTCCTTTGAGCCACAGGCACCGCCCCTCTCAGGAGATTTTTATAGAACTACACAGCTAGGGTTAAAAGCAATTTTGTATGACTCCTTAATCATTTAGATGAGAAAATGATTGTAGAAATGTTAAATAATTTGATAAAAGTCACATAGTTAGAGAGTGAAGAGCTCAGATCTGTAGAATTTAGGCTAAAGGGTCATTGACTACACCAGAATTTTTTTCTGATTTATGGTTTAGCTTCAAATAGTTTGTCCTTGAACTCCCTTCCAATGTCATAATAAAGGAGTCCTTTTAGATTCTTCAAAGTGTCTGTGATTAATTCTGTATGTGGTTATGAATATGTAAATTTAAGCTTCTGCAAATCACATATGGTCAGTGTCAGTTACTGAAAGGCCCTCCTTAGGAGGAATTAAATGACACAGAAAAAGAAACAATATTAGTAAGGGTAAATGCATCAAAAAAAATCTCCAAGAACAAGTCAAAAACTTCAAATACAACTTTCATAAACTATAGATGGGAATTACTTAGGTATCCTGCGAACATATGGCAGAAATATAAGTGAGACCAATTCCAACAATTTTATAGCTTTTTTTCCCTTATTTGACCTTACTTCATGCAAATAGTGATATATAAGTCTAGACTCTTAAAAGTGAAATTGCAGTAACATACCTCCAATTATCTTCTGTTGATTTATACCCTGTGCTTGAAGTCAGAGTAATTTATTTGATATAGTATTTGTATTTTATTGAGATAAACCGATAATGAGGTAATTCTTATTCTCAGTGTTAATAACTATTTACTTTTAAGATAGCGCTAACAATGCATATGAAGAGGTGAGAAAACCAGGAAATCGCATGAAGCTTATTACAAACAGTCTCTTCTCTTGGGACCAGAGGTTTCAAAATTTTTTCTAAAACAGCAATCAGGTGTTTCCTCTAAAGTCAAAAGCAATCAACTGTTAAACAGTGTACTTTTTACATCAAACTGCTTTTTATAAATAACTGAAGCCAATTGTTTAAAGAGCCATAAAATTCCCTTCAAGTTAATGAATGAAGCCGTGCAGTTTAGTTCTTTAAAGCACAGACTCTAGCTCAAGGGTTCTCAGATTAGTGTTTTAGAATTACCAAGGTAACCTTAAAATACATTGATGCTTTAGGTTCCACCCTCCAGCCAGATTCTGATTGGGTAGCCTCGGATTTGAACAGGGGTTGCCAGGATGGGGATCACTGCCACGGACGTGAACTTGTCTTCCTGGCTATATGACTCCGGGCAACACATTTCCCCACACATTAAATGATAGTGAGAGTTGTAATTAGTTCATGTATGAAATTAGAAGGCAGTCCCCAAGACACCCTCATATCTAAGGCCAAGTACAAGCTTCAGAGGTCCCCAAGACCTCTCTGAAGTTCAAAAAATTCTCTAGAATAAGTCATAGAACTCACTGAAAGCTGTTATATGCAAAATTACAGATTGCCCAGTGAAAAGGTACAGATTAAATTCATTCTAGAGAAGAGGTCCATGGGATAAAGCCAGGACAATTCCAAGAGCAGTTGTTGGCTCTCAGTGGAGTCATGGATGGCGTTATAGTCTCAGCAAAGACAGTGACCATGTGCAGGGCGTACTGCACATGAGTCCCGAGTTTCCAAGGCTTCATTTGGGCTGTGTCCCATATATGCTATTGAATACCGACAGGGCTGACTCAGTCTCCAGCTTCCCCAGAGGTTGAGCTGATACCATGCCAAGGCCCTACCATAAATTATATCATTCTACTTTCTAGAGTAGTCTAAAGTTTCCAGGTAAACAAAGACACTTTGTCAAAATAGTGTCAAATAGGACATTCTAAGGGCTTAGAGATTATTTCATAGGAGTAGAGGGAAAATGCCTACTCTCTCCTGGGTCAAGGTTAAATTTTTTATTACATATCATAGTTTTTATGAGAATTAAATAAGTTTGCATTTTTAAAGTATTTAGAAAAGTACCTTCCTATGTCTTAGCTTTTATTATTCAGAAGGGCTTAGATTTTCATCTGAGTTGTTTACTGCTATCTTTCCACACTTAGGAGAGTGTCCCACTTAGTACTTCATAGATATTTGCAAAATGGATTAGCAAACTAGTTCATCTCCACCTTCTCTGAGTTCCCACTAGATAGACCCCATTTTTTATTTCTGGATATATTTCTACTCAATCCAGCAATCTTCTAGCATGCCTTATCTGACTCCATGTGTAGGAACAATGAGCCCCTGTGAGCTCAGCTGGGACCTGGCCCTTCAGGTCTGGAAGCGCCTCTCCATCTGAGTCACACATCAGCATCACAGGAAGACTTCAAAAAATAATGACTCCAGGATCTACCTCCAGTAATTCTGTTGTTCTATGATCTTATGAAGTGCACAGCACAGTGTCTGTCCCTAGAAGATACATATAAATGTCAAGAAGTACATTTAATGTCCCATAACGTGTAGCTGTTCCACCGAGAGGTGCCATCAGTGGTGCAGGACTAGATTGTTGGTCTGCTTCATCCTTTCCAGGATCAAAGTCTATACCATTATAAGAGGCTGAATCATGTGTACAAATATGGACTTGTATCCTCACGTTTATTACTTGGCTGTTTCCAGCCCCAATTCAGAAACAGAAATCTTGAGGTAATACTTATACCACATGTGCTCATCAATGCTCAAGATTTTCTGTAACAATCATTGGGAAAATTGCTTTTTATTCCTGACTTTTCAATTAATAAGTTGTAATGAATGCCAAGTAATAACTTAGGTCCTCAAATTTCTGATCTACTATATTAAAGATGTGGGTCTGATGATACTGAAGTAGCTTCCAGAACTAATATATATATATTGCTCTGTCACCCAGACTGGAGTGCAGTGGTGATGTACTACTCACTGCAACCTCAAACGCCTAGGCTCAAGCAATCATCCTGCCTCTGCCTCCTGAGTAGATGGGGCTATAAGTACATACTACCAGGCCTGGATCATTGTTATAATTTTTTGTAGAGGTGGTGTTTTGCTCTTTCTCAGGCTTGTCTCAAACTTCTGAACTCAAATAATCCTCTCACCTCAGCCTCCCAGAATGCTAGGATTATAGGGTGAGCCAGAACACCTGGCCCATTTTTTAGCACTGAGTCGTCTAGAATCCTGTTAACATTGAAGTTGGTTACAAATTACCAAAGGCACCTGGGAGAGGACTATTAAACAAGCCTGGAAGAAAGAAATCTTCCAGCAAAAGGGATAAATGATAAAGAAAAAAAATCATATCTTTCAAAGGCCAATAGTAAAATTACCTAGCATTTGTTTTATAGCTCCCTTAAATAGCAGGAGTCTTTTAAATACTTTGTATGAAGGCATTAAAGACTTTATATATTAAAATATGTAATACATGCACTCCTTTTGCCAGTAACAAATAGCAGTGAGTTGCTTTCATTTAGCTTTTTATGGTTTAGAAGAAACTCTTAAGCAAATCAATTGAACCCCAGTCCAACTTCACATTTTATTAACTACCTGGTCTGAGGCATGTCATTTTAATAAATTCTAAAAGAGGATTGATAATGTATTTCTATTTATTTCATAACATTGAGATTAGAATTGTTCATTCATTGTAAAAATTTATTTAATACACCAATGCTCTAAATACAGAGAATGCTGCAATGAATCTCTTCTACCTTTGAGGAATTTAGGACCTTGATGGGTACAACATACAAATAGTTACTAGGACATAACTTAGTTGTACCTACCCTAACATTGGTTAAATTCTACATAACCATCCAGCCTAATGCAGGAGGCAAGCCTCACAGGGTGGGGAATGTGGTCAAGGTTGGATGGCTGGAGAGCAGGCCCTCCTGTGATATACTATCTTCATCAGGGCCAGCAGGCATCGCGAGTTACACAGACAGAATAGAATTTTGGTACTCAACTAGGAACAAAATGTTTATATTGTTATAAGAGAAAGAAAACAACTGTAAATAGTTATTTGTGACAAATATTCTTATTCTCTGGATATCTTATTTATAAAATTGCTGGGTCTGTATTATCCTATCAATACCAATCAAAGTGGTAAACGACCTATGTTGTCCTCGTGTGGTGAGTCACGTATCTGAAGCCCATTGTCTCTGATGTGTGAGAAAGCACTGTCAGCTCCAGAATCAGCTAGTGGAACGGAAGAACACAATATTAATTGTTATAGCATGCCGTTTAATTCGAATTGCAATTTTGCTGAATGTTAATGAATTCCTTTTTTTTTTCTTTTTTACAATGTCATTTGAATTCCAGGCACATTCAAAGCAATAATCAACCTCCACAGCCCCCAGTTCCACCATTAGGTTACGTGTCCGGAGCCATGATTTCTGATTTGGAAACAGATGTTCCAGATGATGATGCCGATGATGAAGAGGAAGCTTTAGAAATCCCCAGGCCCCTGAGAGCCCTGGACCAGACACCTGGATCCAGTATGGACAATCTAGACAGCTCTGTGACAGGTAATGGATCCAATTTAACAGAAATAAGTGACCTACTTGTAACATTAAAATGCATCAGAAATCAAACACTTTCTTATGTAAGATTTATTCCACTCCATCTCCTTCTGTAACATTTTAAATATGTTAATATTAAACACAAAATTCAAAAAGGATTTGGAAATACATTTGCTTTGCTGCAAAAATGATAAGAAAATTCATGAATTTTAAAAAGCTTTAAAGACATGAAAGAAAACTCAATTATATCCAGGGCTTTCATGAAAAGTTCACTCTACGAGGGAACCAAGTCTATTACATTAAAAAAAAAAAAACAAAAAAAAAAAAAAACCTTGACTTTTAGAAGTGATGTATTTTGTATACCAGAAACAACATACAAAGTGAATGTAATCTTAAAATCCTTCTTGATAATTCGCTCTGTAAAAATCACTCACTGATGAAAATAAGCACGTCTTCAGAATAAGCCTAAGTTTGCACAAGGTATTAATTTTAGAGTGGAGAAAATGTTTAGTGAGATAAAGCACGTGTTTATGTATTTCATATGGCTGGATCCAGTAAATACTCCTTTCCCAAGCATCGTAATTATTTTTACTGTTAATTTCTTTGGCTTCTTTTTGCCCTGTTCACTAAGTGAAAGACTTCGATTGGTACTCACATATGATGAACCCCAGACTAATGTGTAACGTATTTACAAAGATTTAAATTTATCAATTTTTATTAGAAAATTTTTAATCCTAATATCTGCACGGTGACCATGGAGAAATGTAAAAATTCCGTCTTTCTTTTCAATTAGATATTCATTCTGACATTCAAAAATATGCCTCTTATCTATGAAGTCATAGCTACTACAAACTCAAGTGTATTCTTTGCATTTCATTTGGTCTTCTCGGAAAATGCCCATATCTGTGTTTACCTTGATGACATCTTTCGTCCTAGGAAGTATTTTATCACAGTCTCACTTAATTCATTTTTACACCAACAGCCTTCCAGCTTCCACAGCTTTTGCTCTATAGAGTTCTGCATCCAGTGATGGGAACTGGGTTATGACAATGATGAAGCAGCGTCTGGGCCTCCGGTTCCCATCTCCATCCCTTCCTGAATTGCACAATGCGTGATGCCTGAGCTCACTTTCCAGTTTCCCTTCCTACCCAGGGGCTGCTCTGCGTGCCAGGCTAATTAAGATTTAAGAACTACAGATATACTGCAGAGCAAAAGTTAAAATCTTTGAATGCGGAGAGCTGACTTATTAGTGCACTATTATGTTAAGCCCCTTTGCCTGAATTTCCAGCATAATCTCCTTCAGGGTAAAATTCTGCATATTTTTGCATATTTCACTAATGATACTGAACTCTTTTCCATTAGGGATGCAGAAAAGAATTGCAACAATAATGAAAAAAAGTCAGCTATAGCCTGTAAAGCTTTTTTATTAAATAGTATACTGTCAAAGATGATAAATTATCTATAAATCAGCAGAATGCCACCTTGCACTTTCACACATTTACCTGTAACGTGTTAGGCTGTCTAACGGGGCTGCAGTTCAAGCAAACTGCATTCTTCCTGTAGCTGGGATAATGTTCATTCTAAATGAAGCTTTTATTGCTGAGAAACACGAAGTCTGTTTTCCTACTTGAATTCACTGCTTAATTACTGCCCTATGTACAAAGCTCAGGGTGTTAGGTGTGGGTTCCATGATGAATTTATCCTACGGATAATACATCCCTTTAGTGAAAGAAGTTGCATTCTACACAAAAGTAGCCAAACAAAACCTCTCCTCCTGTTTTTTCCCCCTTTCCTTTCCATAATAACTTTGTGAAGAAGGTGATCAAAGATTTAATTTGCTTTGTGTGTCTATAAGTATGTGTGTCTATAGGGGTGTGTGTGTGTATAGGGTGTGAATGTGGTAGAGTACAGGTGTGGGTACGTCATGTGCAGGGAATATGTATGTATTCTTGTGTATGAGAGTGGAAATCAGGTTGTAAGTACATGCCTGCTCATGGGAGAATAGCCGTGAATGAGAAAAACAGGGACCCTGAGTAGCAGATACATCAACACGCTATTGAATTCTAACATGTTTATGTTTTCTTCAGACACTTAAGGCCACTGTAATGGTGCTAAATGAGGTGGACAATAAAACAGGCACTATTTGCGTTGGCTTTTATGTTTTTAAGATCATAAGTGCCCATAGAGCCAATCTTACCACCAGTTACATGGAGTTCTAAATTCGTTGTGGTGTGAGTAAACTAGTCATTATGTTCACCTGAAATTCCCTGATAGTTATTTTGATTGTCATGAAACTAATGACCATTTTATTAAATAGAAATAACAGTGATTATGTTCCAGTCTCAGAAAGTCTGAAGACAATCAAAATGGTAGCTCGGTGATAACACCAGGGTGGGTTAATGAGCCTGTGTATAAAATTATGCAAGATTGTCCGTGGATGTACTGCTCCTTCCAGATACCACATTAGGGATTATCAGCAGTTAACAAGGGACAGAGCCCATCTGGCTAAAGAAATAAGCACAGGCACGTGAACTATAAATGGTTTTCATAATGACTAATTTTGGAGGGACTGCTTGAATTTTGTAGTGACAATTTGTGAATGGAAAAAGCAAAAGGGGTGGGTAATGTCTTTATTTCCACATTTCATGATCTCAATAATGGAAAATATACATTTGCAGACAAAAACCAAGCAGAATGTGTGACAGAGACAGAAAAGCCTAGAACATTTAGTGTCTGTCACTTTGCAGGAAAGTTTTCTGACCCGTATGCCACAGTTTTAATGTGTACTAATTCATTTAATCTGCACCACCTTCTTATTCTCATCTTATAGATAGATAAAATGAGTCGCAGAGGGATGGAAAGTCTTTTTCAAGGTCACTCACTTGATAAGCGAGAGAATGACGTTTAAAATCAATCAGCCTTACTGAAAAGATAAATTGTCATAATTCTTTCACTGGACACACCCAGCTTTCTTCTCATCCATGGAATTAGCATATTTAGGAGGAAATTAATTTTCTAGTCTGTTGTTTAATATGTAGATCTCTGTGTATGCATACTACATATGAATATATATGTATTTATATAAATACAACATATCATTTTATCTCTAGAAACATTAATCTTCATTGTGCAGTTAATCAAAATATTAATTTTAGATGACTTTCATTATTTCTTCGTATCATCTTCCATTCCCTGTTTAGTTATAGATATCCATGCTGACAAGATTCAACTCTGGGAGCATTTTTTTATAAATCTCTTTACCATCTTTATAATTTTCACTTTAACCTATGCTCATAACATACACCTATATGATTGTAATAAAATACAAAAATATTTTTATTACGGTGAATCACGTTCTTTTTTTTTTTTTTTGGCTATAAATGAAATGTTTCAGTCTCCCAGAACTCGCTTCTAATATTTCCTCCTAAATGCCAAACTTTGAGGTTACAGGGAGGGGGAAGCCCTTAATACTTCTTGCTGTAACTTCCACGGTGGGAGTCAAGGGTAATTGTTTCCTGAATTTAATGACACCACCAGGAGAAAAGAAACAGAAGGCAACAGGAGAGAGTGCAGGAGGAAAATGTCCTGACCGTGTAGCCAAGATTTTAACTGCCTCGGTGATCACGAGAAGGAAGCCGGAGAGTGTGCTGCTATGGGAAACCACGGCAGGTCTCCTTCCCCGCCAGACCCCACAGGAACACCAGGGCGGGAAGGAAATCACGGCTCTGTATTTTCAATTTTATGTTTTTGGAGGTTTTTACTGGAACTCCCACTCCAGCTCAGTATGGAAAGAATAAAACCTGGCATTCTCAGCATCTGACTTGACCACACAGCTTTTAGAGTCTTGGCTACTAAAACTTCCACCTGAAGCTTTGCTTTTGCTGCAAAAACTTAAGGAAAATAAGTTTAATGTTAAGGAAAATTTGGGAGATAAAGCTAAATTAATTAGATCATTTTGTTGAACTACCTCAACAGCTTTGAAGTCTTTAAAATTAAATTAAATAGATATTTCAAAATTTAACAGCTAAGAAGAAGAATATTGTATGTGCATTTTTTTTTTTTCTGAGCAAAACAATGTAACAGACATCATATGTCCCAAGGATGAGATTTCTTTTTTGTTTGTGTGGGGGTTTTTTTGTTTGTTTTTGGCCCAGGTTGGGTTTGAACCTGCCACCTCCAGCATATGGGGCCAGCACCCTACTCCCCTGAGCCACAGGCACTGCCCCAAGGATGAGATGTTTTAATAGTTTATTTAGCTTTTCCTACTGTATGACACATAGCTTTCTCTCTGAGGGATGTAGTGCAATTGTAGCATTTTCAGTATGTGTGAGTGAAAAAAAGAACTTCTGTAGATTAGACGTGTTTTTCTATCTTTAGGGAGACGTCAATATTTGGATTGATTTGTCTAAAGACATTTACAGCTGCAGATTTAACTTAACAGGTAGTTAGACAAATAATGCTTAATAGGAAGATTTCTTAGATTAAATATTGGCTGAAAAAATGGGGGACAGCTAGTTTTCGTATCTCATAAAAATGGAAATGCAACAATTAGCAGGGTCATATTACAAAGCACAGCCTTTACTCTAGCTTAATGTATCTCAGGGTAAGCATTTATCAGCAAGGAAGGACTTAGCATAAAATGACATGTAAATGAATTGATGACTGATCATAAATTAATTTTAGTGCTGAAGATGTAATAGAGACACAGCAAGATGCCACTTTATCCTGGTATTTCACTGCTCAGTAACATTTGAGCAACAACTTCATGTCCTATGTGCATTTCTTATTTAACAGCTTGAATAAATTTGAGATTTTTTTTTTTGGTCTTTCAGCAATTTTGAACCTGAGAAATTTGGAAGATGGAAAATGTAAATACAAGTAAATTTAGCTCTGTGACACAAATTCATTTTTCATTAAATGTTGAAATATGTATTGATTATGTTTGGGCTAGAACATGTCAGAGAGGTACAGATGGCAGGTAATTTGTAAAGACTTTCTAGCTAAGTTGTTTTCACCTGGTATTCATTGTAATTTTTCGGTTTCTACGTACACTTATAACAGAAAAACAGTTATCACCGAAATGACTTACGTTTAAATTTCTGAATTAATGTTTTTCTTTTCTTCCAAATCTGATCTTCTTATTTCTGTTTTTAATTTTTTGGTAACTGTCTACCTGAATGAGCAGCTCATTCTTCATGTTTCAACTTAAAAAGGAGGAATAAAAAAAATATATAAAAAAAAAAAAGAAAAAAAAAGAGGAATAACAGTAGACACTGAAAGGGAAAAGAGTGAACGTTAAATAAATTTTAGCAATTTTGCAGGAAGAATTTTAATCTATGCTGTTTATTTTTTACTCATGGAATGTGAGAAAATACCTTTAAAAATCTTCTCCCCCAATGTACCCATGCCGTACCTCTCACTCCAATTGAGAGGAGGGGGCATTGACAGAGACACAGAAACAAAGGGAAAGGTAAAATGTCTTCTCTTTATGTTCCTTACCCTCCTTTTTAAAGGCAAACACATCTACATGAGGCACTTCCCTCTGATTAGCTTGGATCAGTAAGGGACCCACTGGCCGCTGTGGCCAAATACAGAGGGTGCCCCAAAACTCTGCATATTGTAAGAAAGGAAACGCAGTATTGAAATGATAACACTCAATATATACAATAACTAAAAATGCATAGGAGCCACATTGAGCACTTCTTATCATTGCAGAAGTCCAATGTCCAATGTCCCATGAGTATTACAAATTTAATACATGTTTTTCTTTTTAAAAATGTGCCAATTTATCAGCACCCTGTGTGTCTATGGTGCACGTATCTTCAACTAGGAAGTCATGTATTTGGCCTCTGTGCAACTACTGGGAGTTCAAAAGAAAGACTAGCTGATGTTCCCACACTGACCACACCCACTGGAAGCCCTGTCTGCCAGGCTGCCTCTGTTCCTGGGGGGAGAGGAGAAGCATAAGGAAAATGTTACAAATAAATGGGATTTCTAGGACATGCTAAGAAGAACTAAAGGTTGAATAAAAGGTAGAGCAAAGACACAAAGGCAGGAAAGTAGTCGATTTGTTTAATCAATGTTAGGACAAATGCATATGTTTAAAAACTCCCGTGAAGGACTTATGACCACGGGAAATAAACAGGGCATTTTGGATGGAAAAGTTAACCTATTTCTCTGTTAAATGATCTCAGAGGATGACATTTCGTTAGTGACACTGCTGCGGTGCCGAACTTTTTTCTAAGTTTTACAGCTTCAGAGCCTAAATTTGTCAGTATGCTAGATCCCCAGCTTGGAACCACATGGCAAGCAGATTTAGACATAAAACCAAACAGACCCAATTACTTTGGAGCTGGGTATAGAGGAGAAAAGAGAATTTTCAAAAAACAACAAAACATTGAATATAGACAGAGAAGTCCCACACACACACAAATAAATAAAATGCCACGTACTGGGAATTCTTTATCTCAAATTGAATAAGATATTACTAAATATCAATACTGAAGTGCATCAAAGAATCACCAAGATATATATGTGCATGTGTATGTGTAATTACTTTCTCACTTTATATGATTACATCACTTTCCCCACTGTCCAAATAGCCAACCAGATTTAACTACCATTATATTCCCTATTTAATAAATTTACTGAGACTTCTTACAAGGACATTCTTGCTATAACTAAAAGAAGGATATTTCTAGGAAATTACATATCAAATAGAATGACACATAAAATTAATAGTGAATAATAAAAATATTGAACAAATTTAATTCAAAATGCCATTGTATATTGAATTTCTATTAGAAATTATGTACGAGATCATGATCTATAAGATCATTTCTAATTACCAGCAGTTTTGAATCTGAGAAATTCTAGAAGAGAAAACACACATATACAACAAATTATAATATAGAGTGAAAACTAATATACTAACTATGCATCGCATTGGGAAAATAGAGATGAAGAGATGAGTCTCCCTGGGATAGGATGGAATCAAGGTAATAACAGAGATGGTATCTGATTTAGATTTTAATGTTTGGCTATGGTAGCTATACAGAGATATGTCCAAGGAATGGGAAATGATGTCGTATAGGTAAGATACGGAGACAGACAGCACTGGCTGTCAGACGGGGTAGGGCTGCACAGGTAAACGGGGCTAGATTTTAAAGAGTCGCAAATACCTGATTAGGAGTTTGGATGTGGCATTGATGAACTAGGTAAGGATTTAAACAGAGGAATGAAATTGTATGATAAGCTCTTCAGATAGATAATGGAGGTAAAAATGAAGAAAAAATGGAAGGAACCAGAAGGAAATCAGGAGGGGGTTAGGAATAAAACTGGAAATGAAGAATAAAGAGATTCTTGTTGGGAGAGTGAGAGCAGATGTTTAGAAATACCAGAAACAACACTTGGAACTTGGAGTGAGCTTTTAAATGTTTTTTCAAAGTAACTTCAGCCTTAGAATTTCATATTCTTATTGTGGCTCTTCACTGAAATTCTTTGATTTTCTTTCTTATCTACTGCAGCTGTATGTGGCAAAGCCTCTTGCATCATTTCTTCTTTCATTTTGGGCCGTTGGTCCTTGACTTGTGATTATTAATCCAGAAATGATTCTCCCCGAGGAGGCTCAGTTGCTGGTGTTATCTCAATGCCCTTGCAGTGGCCTGTGTCAAGGGAATTTGTTTGGAAAGTAAAAAGTGTATCTCTGTGCCTTTGGCAAATAGAATCAGAACTCTATCTTGCTTTGTTACACTTAACACCCTTTTAACTTCTCAAATCTTTCTAGTCCCATCAGTTTCTGTTTTCTCTGTCCTGAGAGTGCATGAATCCATGTTATTGCCTCCTGGCACCTCGACTGTGATTACTGCATCATGACGACACCCCTAACTAACTGTTGTTTCCTAAATATTGGAGAAAAAGAGAAATAGCTACAGTATTTGACTTCCATCTCTTTCATGTAAATATATGTTTAGTTTCTTTAGAAATTTATTATTACTATTATTAAATCATAACTTTGTACATTGATGCATTTATGGGGTTCAGTATTGTATGATATACAATGTGAAATGCTTACATTGAACTAAGTAACACACCCATCACAATTATACTCATTTCTTAATAGTTTTGAAATGTACCATTGCATTAACCTTTTATGAATACTTTTTTCTCCTTCTAACAAAATTTAGGGAACACAATGCTCAGTGGTCTATTGTCCTGTATTAATGATATGCAAACTTAAATTAATACCGTAATATTACGTTTTATGAAGTATTAGGTTAAATTCCAATGTGCTGTCAGCCAAAAGAAACTGTAACATTGTGAATTTCTTCGTAGAAAATTAAGAATTGAGATTATTTTGCAGTATCCTCACAATTTACAATAATCTTCACATAGAGCTGTAATTCCTTTCCACCTTTGCCATGTTCTGTTTTGCAGAAAAATATATATTTACATGGATGATATTCATTATAAAAGTTAATTTTTAAGATAAATATTAGTGCTATAAAAACTGGAGTTCATTAAGTGATTAAAAAGCAGAGAAAGCATAATGAGAACTGACATACTAAAATAACTTTTGTAACATGTACTTTTATTATGCTCTGAGTTTATTTGCTTTGACAGTAACCATTCATTTTTATTTATACATTTTTGATGTTATTTCATGAGTACTCGTTTATCTTAAAATGTTTATATAACTGTAACCCTTCTACAGTATACAGAAATAGTTTCTATGCAGATCGTCATAGGGAGTCTTAATTAAATGCAAAATATCTTCACATTATTTCTTCAACGGAATCCTTGATAAGTTTAAATGCATAATAATTTGTTTCAACAGAAGTGTTTATTTTTGAATTATAGGTAACTTAAAATAATAGGTAACAATTCCTGTTTGGAAAATGATCATGTGATAATTTAGACATGGTAAGAAGTCAACCATAGGGAGCACGTTTTGTTCACGTGCTGCAGACAAAAACAGGTTCTAAGGGGGCTTCATGCTTTTGCACTAAGAATGTCTAAAACATGGGTGATGCACTTGACTAGAGAAGTCATGATGAGACATTAAGGGAGAAGCGAGGCATTGCGCAGCTGCTCGCTCATTAGCATAGAGTGTACAAACAGATAAGCTACCCAGTACATACAACTCACTGGACAACTACATTTGTTTTTAGGTTCAATGGTAAATGGATGGGGCTCTGCATCTGATGAGGATCGTAACTTTTCTAGTCATAGATCTAGTGTAGTTAGCTCCTCAGATGGCTCCATCTTTGCCAACGGCAGTTTTGCACAAGCACTGGTGGCAGCAGCAGATAAAGCTGGTTTTAGGCTGGATGGAACCAGCCTTACAAGAACAGGTTGGTAGACGCCAAGTCAACACTCTTTGCATGAGAGAATCTTGTCCTTTGGACACTGAACTCTTCTTCTCCTGTTCTTCCTTCTTGGAGAGTCTGACCATGGCTTTCTTTAATATGCATGAACAGAGTCTGGATACTGTTCTGCCAAAACTCTCTTCTGATGCGAGTTTTGCAGAGCCAGGAATAGACTCCTACTCACCATATTCCATCTTTTGTTCCTTTTTCTCTCTTCACGGCTCTGCTGATTAATTGGCTATGCTTCTTTTCCTATATGATGGCAAAGCAGCAACTAAGATTGAAATTAAGTTTTCTATGACTCACACTTCACAAAATCCTCACACAATCAATAATGTATCTAGTGATTATAATTACCCAGCTTTTATTTCCATGTCTTTCCCTCTCATCTCCTTCTCCAAATGCATTTTCTGGGAAGGCTTTCTTAGCATGGGGTGAATGGGTCGAAGGCTGTCGGTCTAACAATTCAAATGGCTGACGATCTTATTAATTGTTTGGCTGTTAAGATTTTAATACAAAGATTTATTTCTTGTTTTAAAGGATGCTAATTAAAGATACACCCCTGCATTTGCAAGTTGAGTGAAATGATGACTACACATGTGTTGCTCTTTAGAGTAATTTAATTTTGATTTCTGAGAGCAATAAGTAATGATATAAAAGACAAATTATGTCATTTTCATGTATTCTTCATTCCACAGAAAAAAATACAGGATTAACGCTAATGATAGTCCAGTAATTTGTAATCATTTGTTCTGCTGAAACAAAATAACTTGGGTATAACGCATGCTCTTATATTTCTATGTGTGCTTCTTAACTGCATATATAAGACGAGTCTAACATATAAAGCAAACATTTGTAAGAGTTATCTCTCAAAACGAATGAAATGGTAAGTGCATTTTAAAAATCCTAATGGTGCTCAAATAGTAACAAAAAATGATTTTGACCCTTTGTTAAACTCTCAGGTTATAAAAACGAGTTTCGGAAGTTCTCTGCATTATGCCATCAATATTTCTTAGGAGCATGCATTAGGTATCTTCAAAAGAAATAAAAAAGATTTTCGAAGCATTGCAGAGGTTTATTTTTCATATAGCATCCGAACTAAAATATGTTGTAATATAACTGTTATTTGAATTTTCTTGCTTTATAAGGCATAAGTCAGAAACTTTATGTTGCCTGAGTGCTTTTTGTGGCATTAGCTTTAAGCAGAGCAGGGAGAAAGTGCAAAGAAACTAATAAATTAGAAGACATAAAGTGCATTTCTTGCATGTATGCTAATAGCTAATAAAGCATTAAGCAGTATCATGTCACATTGACTTCAGGAACTATAACTACAGACAATAATTTTATCTGAAATGAAAACATATGTAGGAAAATAAATACATGCACATAAACCAGGCCTCTCTTACTATAATAAACATGGTATTAAAATCATACGATGTTGAAAATTTATTAACCTCTTCCCAAACAAATTTTCCTGTACATGTACCCTCAATCACAAGGAAAGGACATAGCCCATTTCATTTTCAAATGAGAATTTGGAGTCTTCTCAGATACAAAAGTATTCATCAGAAAACACCTATTGCACTTTGGATGTACAAGGTGATTTTAGCCTGCTATCCTCTACACTGATGTTATTGAATTTCTGCCAAAAGAGATAGAATTCATCATGTATGTGCATAGGTGGTAAGGTCGATTTAATATATGTGTCTGAGCAGACCTTTCATGTAAAATTTCAAATGTAATTACTATATGACATTTTTCTGCACTCAGAGAGATTTTGTAAGGTTCCAAGGGTGAAATCTGATAAAACAAATAAGACGGTGCACACTTCATTTCAGAAATAGCTTCTTTCATCTTAAGAAGTAAAAGCTACATTAATTTTTCAAATACCTATGAAAATATCCCTCAGATTGTCATGGTCAAATAAAAATAAAATCAGCCAATATCAAGTTTTTGATTGTTTTTTGTTTATTAATTATTTGAATTTTTTTTACTGGATAGGATGTTGTTAGTTCATTAAAAATTGGACAGAGTATGTGCAGCTTTTATATATTTTCTACAGAGATGCACTACTGTTTGGTATCTTCACATGGCATCTCTAGGGAGGTTTACAGGTTGCTCTTAACTTAGTAAGGGCAGAAATACAAGACGAAATCAGTACACTAATGACCTCCTCTATACCCCATTCCTTTTGTTTTCTTTTTAGGAAAAGCCTTTACCTCCTCTCAAAGACCTCGACCCACCAGCCCATTTTCTACTGACAGTAACACCAGTGCAGCCCTGAGTCAAAGTCAGAGGCCCAGGCCCACCAAAAAACACAAGGGAGGGCGAATGGACCAACAGCCAGCGTTGCCTCATCGAAGGGAAGGAATGACAGATGGTAGGTTCCTTTCCTTTACTCTTGTCTCCTCACTGATGAGATGTGCTCCATGCAATCATTAACTTAGATTAAAGTAGTTTTGGTAGATTAGTCCTTGCCACATCACATAAGGAAACAGACACCTGGCAATCTGGTCTTCTCTAAATAAAATACCCTCTTCTTTTTTTTCTTTTTTTTTTTTTTTATTAGAACCTGGAGTTATCTCTATATTTTGAAGCCCTAAGAAATGCATGCCATATCACTTGTCATTGTCCATTTTTTTTTTGCCATTCTCTCATTTCTTATTAATGCACTTTAGTCAACATTCCATTTTTAAAGTAGGAAATAAAACATAAGCAGCATGTATGCTTATATTACCTGAACTTTTCTGATATTACATTACAATATTTTATGTGGTAACATTTTGAAAAGAAAAAGACCTTGAAATGAATGGGTAATATTTTAGTATTAAGATTTTTAGAGCTAAAAGCATCCTACAGGTCATGTAGTTGAAGACTGTCTTAAGACTATTGAACTGCTCCAACAAAATACAGTTACACACACATAATATTTCAGTCAGTGGTGGGCTGCACATACAGTGGGGTTGCCATCAGATTATAATATGGTTTTAATGCACCTTTTCTATGTTTAGATATGTTTATATACAGAAATTATGACCACTGTGATATTCAGTATTCAAGGCTCTAACAATAGTCTATGCCACAGCCTAGGTGTGTAATTACCTAAATCATCCAGGTTTGTGTAATTATACTCTGTGATATTTACATAATGGCAAAATCACCCTTCTCAGAATGTATCCTCCTTGTCAAGTAATGCATGACTACATTATAACCTGGGTAGCTTATAAACAAAAGTAATTTATTTGTCAGTTCTGGAGTTTGCAAGGTCCAAGGTCATGGCAACAGAAGATTTGGTGTCTGGTGAGAGCCCACTTTCTAGATAGTGCCTTGTCATTGTGTCATCACAATCTGAAAGGGGCAAGGATTCCACTCTGGAATGTGTTTTCTTTTGTTTGTTTCCATCAAACTAGTCAACATAGACTTTATGGCAATTTTCTTAGTTATTTTGTTAAGAAGTTTATACTCCACTTTTAGAAAGATTCACCTGCACCCTTATAAGGCAAACCATACAGGCAATCCCTCCAATCACCCTCCCTCTACTCATCCACTCCTCCCCCCTCCCTAAATTCTTAGGCTGTAATTAGGTTATAGCTTTCATATGAAAGCTATAAACTATGGAATGTGTTTTATAATAGCACTAATCTCATTCATGAGGATTCCACCACTGTGGTCTAAACACCTCCTGAAAACTCCACCTTCCAGTATCATTGTAATGCAGTGTTGGGCTTTCAATATATACATTTGGGGAGTACACGAAGATTTGTAGTAAATACTTTTGACTTTTGGAGGCAAAAGCTCTCTGTCACAGTTACTGAACATGGCCATTGTTGCATGAGTTTAGCTACAGAAAAAGTAAAAGTATAAATGTGACCGATTTCCAATAAAACATTGACAAAATAGGTGATGGCTAAATTTGGCATGGACCATACTGTGCAAATCTATTTCAATCATTCTGTTTATATATAGCATCCAATCTTTGAACATTTGCTTAAACACTGCTAGTTTCAGGAAACACAATATTACCGGGAGACGTCCCTGTTCAACTATGAGTATTTCATGAACTCTGCAAAGCATGGTCTACTTCCTATATTTTCAAGTTGATTCTCTATATTTTAAGCATGAAGAAAAATATTTATCCTTAAGTTTTATTCTAAAAATATGTGATGTATTATATTTAAAGTACCTAGTATAACATCAGACTCAGAGGTAATTTCTTCCCCCTCCTCAGTGTTATCTTCCACAAGCACACAACTTTTTCCTAAAATAATGCTACTAAACACCAAAAGAATGAACTTAGGTAAACCATGCATTAGAACTACCTGGAGAGCTCTTAAAGTATACCCTGAAGATTCTGATTTAATTTTTCAGAGGTAAAATCTAATTATGGATATTTTTAAAGCTCACAAATCAATTTAAGGTACATCCAACTTGGAGAAGCTATGAACTAGTCCTTGAAAGACTTACCTTAATCATTATAAGACAGAAGGAAGCTTAGTTGGAAAGGAGGGGAAGTGTTTGTTCTTTACTAGTTTAGAGGAAGGAGTACCCTATCCAGCAGCCATCTTTGTGGGTTTTTTTTTTGGGGGGGGGCTTCTTACAATGCCAAGAAAACTTAAAAAGCCAAAAATACTTTTTCTGAAAGCTTCCAGGTTTACTCATTTCTCCTCTAATTTTGCCTTTATTGGAAAGTGCTTCTGTAGAATATTAAGGTAAACGGTAGAATCAAGATTTTGATTCTCTATATATGAATATCCCATGGTGGGCAAAAATGCCTTTCTGATCCCCATATTCTGACTATTAGTTGAGCACTTAAAAGCAGTTTGCAGAGTTGATCTTATTTTGTCTAAATAAAAAGGATATGTTATCACTGATATGTTATTTATAGAATTAAAGAATTAATTAACTAAGAATTAATAATGTATAAATTTCCCTACTTTGAGTATTAAGGAATGTGAAAAGCAAACTGAGGTCTATATTTTTCTGTGTGCATGATTATTCAGAAATTTTGGAAGATTGTGTCCCCAATATGTGAAAGATATTATATATAAAACAACAAAAAAAGGCATCTTTTTATTTCTAGAACAATTTTCTTGCAAGAATTTTTAGAGTGTCCATAAAGCTACCTACTAGTTTGAAGCATGAACAGATAGGATCCTAATTTTTTTAAATTTACCCAGCATTTGAAAAAGAAGTTATGGGTTATATAAGTTATACATTTTGAAAATAGTGATATTGCAAAGGAAATTTCAGCTCACGTCTTCCCATGTATTTGATCCAAAGACATTTTAATACAGTGTGAAGACATTTATTTTGGATGACACCCCACAAATTATCCTTAAGAACATTGTTAGATTACAGGAAATACACATGACATAGCAGTTATATGGTATGAATCCATATGTCAGGAATATTTCATAATGCTTTTATATAAAACTCAACTTGTTCTTTTGGGGAAGGTTGTGGCTTCACAGCATTTAGTATTAGACTTTTTGCACTAAACCTTTGGCATTATAAATATTATGATAGTTTTTTTTTTCTTTATTATAAGCAGTAATGTAAGAATGTAGGGCTTTTCAGTATTGGGATACCATTATTTTCATGTTTAGACTTTCAGGGTTTTTATGATGATTGGTCATTAGGAGGGTCTAATGGCAAGTGGCGCATACCATATCTCATAATTTATTGGCAAGAACTCTGTTGAATGGTGTCAGACTAACTACTGGAGTCGGAAAGTAATCTTCCCTGTGTCCAGTAAAAGAAACTGGGAATGGTGGAAAATGTCAGTCTGATCCAGAGTCTATGCAGACACACACACACACACAGAGACACACACACACACACAGACACACACAGACACACACACACACACATTTTAAAGAGTGCTCTTTCTCCTTGTGTAAATTCTTTCCTATGTAGGCATTTCTAAATTTAAATATTCTCTTTTTCTTGCATAGTAAGTCCCAGAGGACCTTCTGAAGCCAGTGCAATGACCACTGCTAAAGGAAAAGGGCATCTCTGCCCACCGAAACATTTTTCTCTAGATTATTTTCTTTCAGCTTTTCTTCCCATTCCTTAGTTCTTAATACAGTCGTTATAGAAGGGGCTCTTCCCCAGCTCTGCATGTACTAGCTTTGGCCTTTGAACAAACTTATGAATTCATTAATCTATTCATTCAGGTATTTCTTAAGCATATATCATATGATAGACAGTGGGAAAAGGAATTCCCGCCTTCTTACATTCTAGTGGGGAAAGGTAGATAAAGACCAACATAGACACATAAATGAAAATGTAAGTAAGATAATGATAAATGCTATGGGGAAAAGCAAAGGGAAGGAAGTTAAGAAGTGTAGGTATAGGGAGGACATATGCAGGCTCCTCAGGGAAGGCTCATCTAGAAGGCGAGCTTTGAGCAAAGATGTGGGAAAAAGTAAGGAAAAGAGCAATTCTGATTTCTGAAAAAGGTCATTCCAGGAAATGAGAGCAGCAAAGGAAAGCCTGAAGCGTATTTGATAAAAAGGAAAAGGACTAGAGTAGAGAGACCAATAAAATGTGATATCAGACAAGCAAACAAGATACAAGGTAGGTGTAAGACTTTTAAGCTAGTGTAATGACATTGGCTTTTACTTTGAATGGGCAACCACTAGAGGTGTGTGTGTGTGTGTGTGTGTGTGTGTGTGTATGTGTATGCATCTGTGTGTGTGTGTGTTTCTCTTTAAGGAAGAAGAGTGACATTCCTTTACTTATGTTTTTATAAAAAAAGAAAGTAACTCTGACTGTTGTATTGTGATATGCAAAACGGGGCAAAGTGTAAACACAAAGATCTTATAGCAGGTTGAGAAAGCAATGGAATAGATGGTCATTCGTACCAAGGTAGAATCAGTGGAGATGATGAAAAGGTTGGATTATAAAGCTGGAGCCAAGAAGATTTTTTAATTAAATTAAACAGAAGCTGTACATCAAGAAAATCAAAGTTTTGGCCAGCTTATAGAATAGAATTGCCACTAATTAGGAGGAAGAACATTACAGAGGTAGCATATTATATAGAGGATAATCTAGAGCTCACTTTTGATATGTGACATTTCAGAAGGCCTCCAGTTGGAACTGTTCAGTGAGTCTGAAGGTCATGAGAGGACAGATCCAGGCTGGAGATTTTTAACTTGTTGTACCTCCACTTTCTTTCCTTAAAAGAGGAGGCAGTAATGGCTCCTATATCACTAGGCTATTCTGTGCTTGGTAATGACTAATCCTCAGTACACCAGTAAGAGACGCTTTAGTGAATTGAGTTAGTTGAAATGAATCAACATAAAAATGAATAATAAATTTAAGTAAATGTACTTGATTATATACTTTCTTTTTCTTATAGCCATCCTTATTATGTCTTTTTCCAATTTGTTTATTTCAATGTGCATACAATGTCTTAGAATATATAAATGTCAAGGACATTACTTAATTATGAAGCTATATGAATTTAGTTTAAATTAAATAGTAATCAGAATTTTAGCTGGCATAGCAGATGCCATTTTGGCCATTTTAAAAATTAAGCCGCTCTGATATGCAATAAAAATCAATGACAAGATATATTATTTTGGAAGGAAATAGAATAATTTCTCCTCACCGGCAGACTGAGTTCAATAACTCAATGAAATAATTAATTTGCATTTATAATAATGTATAGTGAAGGAAATCAGTAGTATTGAATATGAAGGACACACCAAACTCATTGGATTATCCAACAAACAGATATCTTGAGATTAGATTAACTCTTAATTTTTTTTTTTTTTGGAAGAAATGTTCCAAAAGCAACTTCATTCTCCCAGAGACTCTGTTCCCTTCTATAATTAGTAATCCATAACCTTTCATGAGGACATACATAAGAAGTGAAAATGTCGTTCCAATTTAGTAACTCTCAGAGCAGACACTCAAGAGACCATCATTATCAGATTAAGGCTTTTGAAAGACAGGGTAAGGCTTTGTAAGAACATCTTTAAAAGGAGTACTTTTTCATTAAGGAAGCTATCCTTCGTACACAAGACATGAATACCTTTCCAAATTTTATAGACAGAGTATTTTTACAAACAAAAGAACACATTTATAAAAACAGCATAGGAAATAATTGCCTATACACAGTATTATGCATAATATCATCTATTAAGAAAATAAATATATATTGTATATAATATTTTTTTAATGAACAAATAATATACATATAATTAGCAATACCCTAAGGACAAACAGAAAGGTTTGCAATAGCAGGCAAGACAAATCAGAAGAAAATGATCCTAATTTATGTGCAGAAGATTTTAAAATTGTTAACAAGTTATTTCAGAACTAGTATACATTTAACATTGAAAAGAAGGACCAGACTCTAATTTTGCAATTGAAGACATCAAACATATAAATGTACAATTATCTGAAGAGTGAGTAAAAGTGAAAAATTAGTTCATGTTTGAACTTCTAGTTTTTTTCGTATCTCATATTTTTTAAAAAGCATTTCTGAAAAATTAGGTATTCCACTGCATCTGAAATTTCCATGATACATTGACTAAGCTAGCACTGTAAAGCATATTCACTCTGTACTCTGAACATCGGTTATTGCTTATTAAAATTAATACATTGGAAGATTATAATGTATTAGTTGTAACTCATTAGCTAACTCATGAAACGAACAGCCAGAATTGGTTGTCAGGCAGAATGTTAATTGCATTTAATAAATGTTAGCTTAACCTTTTGGCTGTTGCTAAATGTGCCCCATACGTGCATAAAGGCAGTTGTATGTTGCATATGATACAGCACAGAGGTCTTAATTTCCCGAGGGTTACATTTCCTATGGAGATTGGCAGGAGAGTTTTTGTTCTTCATGGGGACTTTTGTTAGCATAGCTTTGAAAATTTTTAGTGATGGCATTTTGTGTCATGGTATTTTTACTTTGGGGTGGGGGGTTGTATGACAGATTGAATATGAACCATAAACTGCCCTTTATACCTTGAGCGATAACCTCATTGTACAGTTGAAACACTTTCTAAGTTTAACAGTTGAAGAAAACTGGTCAATGTCATTGCAGTCATACCGTGGCCAAAAGATACCAGGGATTTCCATATATGTGCTTTGGATATAAATAATTGACTTGCATTTTCCCCAAATTTATTTTGCATAGGTGATAACCTGTATGAAAGCAAAGGTTTTCTTCAACTTGAACTAAAAACCTGTACTTTTCATTAAATATTAGTCCATGCTAAATATTATTCAAAATTTTTAGATCTTCCACCACCACCAGATCCCCCACCAGGTCAGGGTTTAAGGCAGCAAATAGGCCCGAGCCAGCATGCTGGTAACGTGGAAAACTCAACAGAGAGAAAAGGAAGCTCCCTAGAGAGACAACACGCATCCAACCTAGAAGACACAAAGAGCTCATTGGATTGTCCAGCTAGAACCTCCCTAGAGTGGCAGCGACAGACCCAGGAATGGATAAACTCCACAGAACGCCAAGAAGACATACGGAAAGCCCCACACAAACAAGGGGTCGGACCAGGTGTGTTCTGTGCAGTTCCAAGAAAGTGTGGACTGTCACCTTTTTTTTTTTTTTCCTAGCAGGTGTCTTAGAAATGGCAGTTGTTTAAGGGCATCTGAAATACATTTGTCTTCAATCAGGAACTTGGATCAGTAAGGAAGCTAGAATTCTTCAGCAGAGCTCACCAGCACATGCCCTAAAGCTAATTAAAATGGGGCTTATCCCACAAATTAATCTCTCTGTGGGGTCTTTGAGCCTTGCCTTGAGACTTCCAAGCTTCATTGACAGTACTCAAGAGTTAATGTCACTTTTTCCCTTTTAATGTTTATACTGAGTACTTTTAAGACCATTAAATTTCATCTTTGCTGTCAGTTTAATTTCTGCCTTCAACCAGTTTGTTCATTTGGCTAAAGTGGCCAGTCCTTTGAGAGGAGAACTCACATCAGTCAAATAGGTGAATTAATTGAAATTACAAAGTTATAAATAATTGCCTAATCACAAAATCCTCACATCAGATAAGCTTAAAATGGGTTTTTAAGTTCTCCGACTGATTACGTTTAGTTGATTGTGAACACATTGATGGGAAATACTCTTGTATATAGATCAATCTTCCTGAAAACATTACAAAATAAATTTCATGGTTTGTAGTTGGAATTTCTCTTTTTCTAGGTGGGGGGGGGCTGTACAAAAATGCACTTTCTGGGACATCTATTTTCAGAACAGGATTCATTGAGTATTAAAACATACACATACATACAACTTTTAAAATTTTTCCTTATTCATTTATTCATTTGGACTTAATCTTCTCTAGATATATCTTCTCCCCATGCATTTTTCATATTGCATTTTATCATAACCTGGTGCTCAAATTTTTGGAAAGTGTAATTTGTACAAGGGCCAAAATATGACGATTTTAATAGCTACTTGTAATGAAAAGTTTAGGAAGGTTACACTATTCAGTCTGAGAGAAAAACTCTGTGATCTTTATCATTAAAGACCATTTATAGAGAGGAATAGTAAATTTAGTCGATATTATTCGTACCTAGAAAAAAAGAAACAAATGTAAGGGTGAGGTTGAGAATGAGAGAGGGAGATAGAGAACAAAAATAGAAAGAGAAACATTTCAAAGTGTTAAGTACTTATTTAATAATATACATCTTCAGTTATTTGTTATTTATTAAACACACATATTATTTATTATAATGTGTGAGTTTCTCTTTTTCTTTTAAGGAAATACAAGGCTTTCAAATAATGATTTTCCATCCCAAGAAACAACAGAAATTTAAGAAGTTTATTTAATTAACGAACATATAGCTTTTTATCTAAATCAGTGGAGAAAATGTTGCCGTGGTTTTCAACTAAAACATAAATCATGTTCCTTCAGTCTTAATGGGGAAATTAAATTGGAGCCTCACTGAACTTAAGAAATTATTCTCAGATATGCTTTTGTTAAGCAAACTGTGGTTCATTGTATGCAGCTCTATTTTATAATGAATTTAAATTTTGCAAATAATATAGAATATTGTATACTTATCCCCAAATCTCTATTAATTTAATCCTGCTTCAGTTCCTATTGTAGGAAATGTTGCTTGCTCATGGAAACGCCTTTAATATCCGGGCCTGATTAAACCTCATACTTTGAATTTTACTACAGAATCAAATAGCCTATTCTGAGCTTACTATGTTATGAGTTAAGTTTGTGTTTTATGTCCCCGTGTTTCTGTTTAACTGAGTCTTTTTCTTTCTTATTTTCTTTTTCAGAGGAAACCTTGGTACCCTACAGCAAGCCCAGCTTCCCATCTCCAGGCGGCCACAGCTCATCGGGAACAGCTTCTTCTAAAGGCTCCACGGGACCTAGGAAAGCTGAGGTATTGAGGGGAGGCCACCAGCGCAATGCCAGCGACCTTCTTGACATAGGATATATGGGCTCAAATAGTCAAGGACAGTTTACAGGTGAATTATGTAAGTGCTTTAGGTCATTTAAAAGGCTATCATAATCCAGAAAGAATATTGGGCTAATAACCTGGCCATGTTAAATTTCAGAATAATAGAAAATTTGCCCTTCTAGGATGAAAAAATCAATTATAATATTGAACAAGTTTGGTCATAACATTTATTTATAACAATCCATGAAGCAGGCATTTCTGCTATTTCATGTTTTATTTATGCTATAGCAGCAGTTCTCAACCTGTGCATTGCGACCCCTTTGGGGGTCTCCTGCATATCAGATATTTACATTATGATTCATAATGGTAGCAAAATTACAGTTATGACGTAACAATGAAAATAATTTTAGGGTTGGGGTCACAACAACATGAGGAACTATATTTAAAGGGTCACAGCATTAGGAAGGTTGAGAACCACCGGGCTATAGGAACATTGTTTTAATTTAGACCATTAGTCTTAATATTTTCAAGTTAAATTAAATATTGTCTACCTTTCAGTTTTCTGTCACTTTTAAACAAAGCACAATAACAGAAGGCAAACCTATCCACCTTTTCGTAGTTTTAAAAAACCTCCTAAATAATTCCTTATTCTTTAGTTACTTTTCATTTATTTACTTTTTAAAACTGGACAGTTAATTTTGAAGAGTTGATCTTTGATTGGTGGGTAATTTGAAATGTTTTTGATTAGAGTAACATCCTATAAGTAAATATATGTTTATGAATAAAGAACTGGCATAGGTGTTTAGTACAACCAATCTATTTTCTAAATACTAGGCAATAGAAAAAGTTAAGAATGTTACGATATATCACAGTAAAAAGCATTGCACCCCTTATGTTAATTTCATGAGGAGATTTCACCAATTCAGCTTTTCTTTGTCAAAATTATACTCTCTAAATATTTGCAATAGCTTCTTTGAATTATTTTTAAAAGTACTGCTGAGAAAATAGCACTAGATTCTAATATTTTCTTTTTTCTTTTTTTTTTTTTTTTTAGCCGGGGTTGGGTTTGAACCCGCCACCTCTGGCATATGGGGCTGACGCCCTACCCTTTTGAGCCACAGGCGCCACCCAATTCTAATATTCTCAACCGCATAACTGGTTCTGAGACATGAGAAAGTAAACTAGCGTACTCACCTCTCCCTTTCCTTGCCTGAAAGGTTCTAGTCCCATCACCTTCACATCACAGGATATTTGGAGACTTCCATGAAATGATAAAAAGGAGAATAATTTCAAAACTATAAAGTCCTTCGTTGATCTCAGTTATCATCATTGTTTGCTATTGCTAATCCAATGATTAAGAATATTTGTTTATAATCGTAATTGGATTCACAGCTACCTAGATTTTTCTTCAACTTTCATTTTGGAATGCTGATAAGACTAGCAAGGGCTACAAAAAGAGCTCTACGTGGATTTTAAATTTCCAAACGCTTTCGTGTCTCTTTGTTGTTCATCTCCTTCAAGTAAAGTCACTTAAATTCACAAACTCACGAAATCTATCCGATGACCTCGTTTTCACTTATTACCTGGTTGCTTTGCTTTATGTTCTGCTGGTTAGGATAGAAGAACATTACAGTTAAATAAGTTATATGTAAACACCCTTTCTGATCTTCTTGTATCTTCTTTTTAGAGTAACTGAGAGGAGACATACAAAGCTGCTCTGAAGGACCACCAGGTCCGAACTCATGGAAGTGATGACACTAAACAGTGCAATGAACAATTTATTTATGTACTATTAAAAGAACTGTAAATGCAATGTAAAGACATACAGCCACACATATCCCACAGATATTTTACTTGTGTTCTTCTCTTAAGTACACCACCCACCTTAACTCTTTCTTGTCAGGAGTATATAAAAAAGAAAGAAAACAAAACTCGCCCTCCAGGAAGAAAAGGATTTTCCTCTGTATATAATTTCTTTTGCATTGCTATGCAAGCTCACTCTTTTTAGCTCTGTTCATATAATTGTCTGTTTTTATTGGTCCGTTGTACTATATGTGAATTAATAGGCTGTGGTGCCATATATTAACTTTTAATTGTGTAACTTTTATGTTTAAATTTTGCACTGCAATTTTATTTGGTGATAAGCACAAATCTCTACTCCTCATGACATGAAGAAAAAAGACTGAATGTGAAGGGAGTTCCCGTACTGTAAGCTGGGTTGGATAACGCTGGTTGTAACCCATCTTGGTAGATGGTTTTCAGTTGGGGTTGTAGAAATAGGAAGATGCAAAGGAACAATTGCGTTGGCAAAGTCTTCTTTGAACATCAGGGACTGAGTCAATAAAAAAAAAGAGCAGAAGGGTGGCTTTTACTATTGACAAAAGCAGGGGTCAAAAGGAGGAGGTGTAAGTCTTAAGTCTGAATATGCACTTAGAGACACAGGTAGCAAAGATGTACTAAACTTACTTAAAAAAAAAAGAAATTAAAGTTTTATTTAGAATCAGTTTCACCTGAGATTGTAATTGACCCATTTGAGAATTATAAGAAGCAAAAGGAAACTGAAGGGTTTCACAAGAGCTGTATTTATATTGCGGTTTTTAAAGACGCAGTCTCTGAATTATCATAATTAATCTCTCTGATTCATGAAGTCAGAATATAATATGAAGTTCCCCAAGGAAACTATCAACATGAAGTCTGAAATATCTAGGAAAAAAATGTATTAGGGCATACTCTGGCTGATTCCAAATACAAACTCTGTTGCAGAATCTTGTTTCATCTTTCTAATACATGTACAGTACACACTAGAGGCTGGAGCTGCATCATTTAAATTCATTACTTTTAGAAAACAATGCAGTCTATATATACAATTTTGTGTTTGACTTGATTGCGAAGTAAAGTCGATGCCACCAAATGTATGGCCAAATTGTAAGTGCTTAAAAGGCAGTGCTCAGAGTATGTTCCGTTCACAGTAAGTAGATTTATTGGAATAAATATTTTATGGTACATTTTCAGAAATTGGCTACCAGCTAAAATACGTTTGACCCATTTTGAATGAGTAAATTGAAGAGAAAAATTCAAAAGGAGAAAAATGCATGTTTATACACTTTTTAAATAAAACCAAACCTTGTAAGTGGACATTCATAACAGTGTCCTGCCTCATTTGTTTTCACGACTTTGAGAATAAGAAGTTCCCGAACATCAGTCACGTACGCACAAAAGAAATGTGACTTTGAAATATACGCTAGCTACTGTACATGTATAGTCACTCGAGTAGACAAGTACCCCTGGTGACATGGGCCCATGTGCTCCCTCCACAATCTGAAATTCTATTTCTATCTATACTTTCTCATATTTTTCCTATAATGTATTCAATAGTTGACACTTCTAAAAATATTCAATGGAATAATCAGGATCAGCTGTAAAACATGGGACCCCTTTGAATGACACACTCCAGGAATTATTGGCTCAGTCATCCATTTGTGTCATGTTGTTATAGCAAAGGGATGATATAATTAAATGTTCCCATCTATTTTATTCCCTGAAACTGCACCAGCACAGGCAAGTGCAGAATGTAGCATTCTTCATGGGCTCCAAAACCTTCCTGGGGCCATGTCGTTTGTTTCTTCACTGAAGAGAACGAGTTTTCCAACACATGCTTTGTAAACCCTTTCTCAACTTTCTACCATCAGTGCCTGAATTTTAATGCAGTTTGATTTCTCCGGGAAAACGGGAGAAGGTGAAAAGTTTCTGCAAGGAAGGAATAACATAATTACTCACACCTCTTAAGATGTGAGGATTTTAAACTTTTCTTTATGCAGTTGTCTACTTCACCTCCTTATATTTAAAGACAAACACTTTTCTAAGAGATTTTATTCATTTGCGTTCTCTCTGTATGCTCCTCTATTACTCAATTTATTCTTAAACTTAGGTTCATTACACACATCGCACATAGCCTGTGATCCCTGGTAACTGACTTTTGACAATGAAGTATGTGTGTACAGAGGACTTTTGGAATAATGTGAGACATAGCATCATATCTTACTGATTGTCTTCAGTTTAAAAAAATGAACTGTTACAGTTAGATTCTATCTAAGCAGACCTTGGGGTCACTTGGAATATTCTTTTAGAATAGTTCATGTTGCCTGTTCAATCTTGTTTTAAATATAAATTAGTTAAATCATTCACCCAAAATATCACCCTCAAATTAATAGGGGGTAAAATAACATGCTTTCGCTATACAAATTCTTTCAAAAACTCTATAAAAAATCAAAAAAAAACCCTCAACAACATGCTACATATAAAAAGCTACTATTGGGTATCAGTCCGAATCAGAAAAGAATACAAACTTGCATGACAGCCACCATAGTTTTTCTCTTTGTAACTTATTAAATGAATGTGATTAAAAATTGATGGAGCTCACTTTTTTGCGGGTCCAAACATAAGCCATCGAGAAGCAATCTGACTGGGAGAGAATATCATCTTATCCAGCATTCATAGGTTATACTGCTTTGCAGTAATGTCCAACACAAGCACAACTTCCTTCATAACAGCAAAGCCTCCTTTGGGAAAATAGACTCAGGTATGCCAGTGTATGCAGGTGGAGATGCCATATGCCTCCTCCAGATATTTTCTAAGTGATTTTTAAAGTAAGATGGGATAGTTCAAGGACATAAAAACAATGGATTCCTTCACAGAATTCAAATCCAATTCAAGGAAGAATATAGAAACCAACAAGTAAAGTACAACATAATCAAGGGGAGTAAAACCATTACAAGTTTTCTGTTTTGAGTAACAAAACAGATTTAATGATGTTCTGTGTCATAGTTTAACGCTCTGGATATTATTTTCAATGGGACTTGAGTTGAAAGTTTGTATGCGCTTTGGTAGAACACCTCCTAATTTCTATTCAATAAATTTATGGAATTGTCTGTTGACAGTATAATGATAACAAGACCAATGAGCTCTAAACTGTTTAGAGCTGAGGGTTTATCTTCACCCCCAGAAAGTGACTGTACACTGGTATTAAAAAGATGCAGAATCATAACATTCACTAATTTGTTCATCGACTTCTGTATATTGTTCATAGAATTACATGACAAGAATTGGTGTAAAGCAACATGTCCTTCCACATTATCTTAGAGGTGAAATTACTTTTGATTTGCTTCTCAATAATGTGTACTTCAAATGAAACACCATTGTTTTTTAAAACAACATTCAATTTGCTAGTTTTATTTTAGTCTCATAATTTCAAAAGCATTTATTGTGACTTGAAAGTGTTGCAAGAAAAGGGATTTTTGTGGCCGTGGTAGACTTTTTATACTTTGTTTTATAGATGGATTTTTTTAAACTGTAGTTTGTTGAAGTCACCAAACAGCGTCCAAAATCTTAATGTGTTTCATTTGATGTTGTTAGATCAGCAAAGAAATTGGCATAAAATTGGTCGATAGTATTGTCAAAGAATTGTGTATTGTGTACTCACTGGGAAAAAAAATAAAATATATTCACATTTCAAATTTGTAAAAAAGCCATTTATATAAAACAAGCTTGCTTGTAGATGAACTGAAAGTAGACCATTTTATCACTTTTAGAACTCTACATTAATATTTTGGTACCACAGTTTACCATTCAGCTATGGAATGAACAGTAATAAATAAGAATTGGTGTCAATTCCTACCAGTGACTAGAAGACACTAATGAAGAGTGTAACCAGCATTTGAAATTATGGATGCCACTCAATCTGCCCTGCTTTCCAGAGTTGTTACCTGCCCCCACCATGATAAAGCTCTTTAGAGAGCTAAAACACAAGGATCTTATCTACACAATTACTTAATGTTGCCTTAAAAAGTATACACAAATGTGAGAATTAGAAGAAATGAGGTATTTATCAATTACTTCAGAATAGCTAATTATAGACTTATTGCATGTTAGATGTTTTTATATTTGCAAAATGATCTCAGGGACTGGTTATCTTAGAAAACATAATGTTAGCTCTGAGGACTTTAGATATAGCTGTACGTTGATGGCATGATTTGCATTTGCCTTTCATGTTTTACTGATTTCCAACTTTAAAAATATAAGCCCAAAGGATAATATCTTTAAATATTGAATAATGTGCATATCTTAGGAAAATTCTTCTCTTTTAGTCTATGAAATCTTCCTTTTTAATTTTATGTATTTCATCTTTATGTTATTGTTGGGTTATCCACCATTTAAACCATTAAGCAAGGCCCAATAATCCTTACATTTTTCTAAAGAAAAGATATCATCCATCCAAATTTTTTTAACATTGGCCCTTTTCTGAAAAAGGATGGAGGCTAACTTTAAATAATATTGTATTTTTGTAATGTGCAAAAATCTAACTCTGATTTTCAAAGCAAATAAAAGGAATAAAAACATGGTACCATTACAATAATCAAATGTCAATAAAAATGGCAGCAGTAAAAAGATCTAAGCAAATATGAAGTACAGCAAATTTATAATTAGAACACAAAGCAATGATTTGATTTTAGAAAGAAAAATAAGCTTAATTTGGTAAAATACATCAAATATTGCATTATATTGAACATTAAGCTAAGTATCCATAATTAATCTTACATATTCTCCAATTTCATTGGAGAAAGAAGCTAGTACTATTTAAAAATAGTCTGAGAAATGCTCTCCTAGAAACTCCACATTCTGCTTCTAGACTCAATGTAGTGGCTCCAAAGGGGTTGCATGACATGCCTTGCTGTGGTTTGTAAAAAATCAGGATAAAGTCATGGGAAAGAATCAGGCGAATCCCAGGTATTCTGTGGAGATAATGTAAGAAATGTGCAATGAGACCATCTTTTAAGAACTCAGTTGAGATCAGTACTTAATACACTAGCAACAGGTAAGATTACATCATCTTCTTAGCTTTCCCATAATTCTTTTGAATATTGTCAACTCTTGAAATCATTAGGCTACATCAAAACATGAGAATACATCTTCCATCTACCCCAACCTAGTGCCCAACACCCAGAAAAGAATAAATATATTTTTTTAGAATGACTATCAGATTATTATAAGGTTCGACATCAAGTAGAACTTTGCTAAAAATAACAGGAAGAGTGGGCTTAAACTTTCTCAATAAAATAATATAAAGCCAAGTACCAATGGAATTTGAAATACAGCTAATGAGTAGTGATAAAAATTCACATACTCTGAAATGGCTAAATATAGAAGTATAAAGGAGAAAAAGAATAACTATTGTATGAACTTTTACTGTCTATGAGTACAAAATAAGATGGTAATGTTATGAGGGAAATTAAAGTGGAATGTGGAACGTAAGAATTTGAATTTACTTGATTAATTTTGAATGATGGTAGATTGATGCAATCAATAAATTTAAATGCTCCAATAGAGGTGATTTGAGAACAGTTATAGTAATGATTATTCTAATAAAAAAGATCGAAAAGTCAAATTGGGGACATAAGAAGGATCAGCCCTCAACTTAAGAGATTAAGACATTTTCAATAAATGTGCAAGCATTTCTTGTGCAAGTAATTATCCACGAAGAATTAAGACCCTATTTTCATCAATGTTGACAAAGCTAAATTTTATGTAGCAGTTCCCTGACATTTAAGTATATGATTAAACTTGAAATGTGTAACAGAAACCCCCATGTACATAAGACAACAAAACATAAATTTATCGAAATAAGTATGTTAAATTTCCAATGTCCAATAGTAATTCCTATTAAAGTTACTTAAATAGTTATTTTAAAAGCCAAAATCCATGATGATGATTAGAACTATTATCATTAAAGTTAAAATAGAAAAATATTTTAGATTTCTTCTAATAACATTCCAAATAAAAAGAATTATAATACTTAAAATATATTAAGTGCTAGTATTCAGAGATACCCACAAAAATCTGACGCACGTATACATGCATACAAATTATGTATACATACGTATTAATAAATTTCAAGCATTAGAGTCAAAGATAGGAAGGGGATTGGATCTATACCCTGTGGTATGAAAAGGGGAGAACCTATAAAAAAATTATGTAATTAAATCAACCATCGCAGACTGAATAACACTTCAAATAATCTCTATTTCTCCTAGGCAAATTATACATCTACATTTACATTCATATATTTCCATACATACATTTAAGTACACTACACATCCAATTGGCCATCAGTATTCACTGATGGTCGGTTCCAAGGCCCACTGTGAATATCACAATCAATGGATATTGAAGTCCCTTAAACACAATGATGAGGCTCGGCGCCTATAGCTCAACCGGCTAAGGCACCAGCCATGTACACCTAAGGTGGCAGGTTCGAATCCCCAGCCCGGACCCGCCAAACAACAATGACGGCTGCAACCAAAAAATAGCCGGGCGCTGTGGCGGGCACCTGTGGTCCCAGCTACTTGGGAGGCGGAGACAGGAGACTCACTTGAGCCCAGGAGTTGGAGGTTGCTGTGAGCTGTAATGCCACGGCACTCTGCCCAAGGGGACAGCTTGAGGCTCTGTCTCAAAAAAAAAGAAAACACAATGATGAAAAATCTGCACATAACCCAAGCACATCTTATTGTATGTGTTAAATCATCTTTCCATTACTTATAATATCTAGTACAATGAAAATGCCATGTAAAAGTTGTTATACTGTATTTTTCATTGTCATTATTTTTATTATTACACTGTAATTCTTACTGTTTTTTCTTTTCTTTCAAATATTTTTGCTCCACACTTACTTGAACCTACAGATTCAAAACCCACAAACATAGAGGGCCAACCTTACATATCTCTATCATATAGATCCCATATATCATTTATTTATATGAGGGAATGGATATTTGTTATTAGAATGAACAAAAGCCATTTTTAAAAGAATAGACAAATATTGTGAACATAATATTGTGCGTAGGACAATGTCGTGGGGCATCCAATTATGTTTAATATAATCTCATCATAAACTTGTTAGAGAGCAATATCAGACATACAGTGAAGATTATATTAAAAGTAAGAAGTGAAGCAGACATAAAGAAGGCAAATGTAGCAGAAATCAATTTTGAGTGTTAACAGGTAGGAGAGAGCACTATGGGTTGCTATGGTGAGGTGACACTTCAGTGATAAAAGGAATTGACCTTGGCCTTGAATGCAAAATTGATGGAAAGATAACTTGGAAAGAAGGAATCAGACACAATAGAGTCTGTAGCCACAGGAAGCTGTCGTCTAATAAGGGAACCATTCATGTGAACTCAGTGAAATCCAAGACATGATAAATATACAACATCATGTTACCATAAGGTAAGGGAGGTAAGCACCCGGTTCAGATTCTAGGAGTCAAGCTAGGCGTGCAAGACTGACTAACACCTTAGAGAGTGTTAAAAAAAATCAGTATAAAGTCATGGGAAAGAATCATGTAAACAATTATGTGAATATTTTTCCCAAACAAAGGAGTCAATTAAATGAGAGTTAAACAGGTGCAAAAGTGCTGATCCATGAGGCAGCACAGCACAGGTAATGAATAAAACAACCAAAAATGAGAACCTTTAGAAAACAACAATGGAATATAGTGGGGAGGCACAGTGGAGGAAAAGGTGAAGGAGTTAAAAAGAGATAGATGAATAATTCCTAGACTTCACAAAGGCCTGAAGAAACACAGATAAGAGTCTACTTCTCCCCATTCATATGTTTCTTTTCTGTTCTGGGAAGATGGTGGCATTGCAGCCTCAAAGGGTATTTGTGCTGCTGGAAATGGGGAAAGTCGATTCTACTTCCAAATTCTATGCATTCAAACTTGCCATGCACATGGTAGGGTTCAAAATGAAGAGTGCTACAGAAGGAAGCCTGAGCCTGAAAACTAAATAAATACCATAATTATAATCTAGTGTAAAATATTTCTACTTCAAAAGTATGTAGTTTTATGTAAACAACAACAGGAAATACCAGACAAAAGCAGAATGAAACCAATTATGATGAGCACACTCCCACATGGGTTAGTGTGATTTTCTACGCAAGTGCAATTTAACGCTGCAGGGCCAAAGCAGACACCAGGGTTCGAATAGGAACTTCATTAGGGAGAATCAAGAATACACACAACGATGACAAATCTTGGAATAATAATCCATCACAAAAGGAGCACAAATAAAGCAACATGCTGAATAGAATAAATGAATGAAAACAAAAATAATGATGCTCAGGGCAACTTGGTAGGGAAGAAAGGGAATTAAAAGCACACCTTGGTCTTTCCATTTTTTTCCCCTCCTCCCCTGCTTCCCCCAGGACCTTAATGAGTTGCTGATTATCTCTTATTAAAAGTCAGGAACAGAAAACTTAAAAACATGAAAAATAATTAGAGCAAAAGAGTAAATATGGATAATTATGAAATGCCAAAATATAATTAAGCATCCGTTCTCTGCAAATGTCTCTTTTAAAATAAGTGGATGGCTGTAAAATATATAATAATAACTTTAATTTTGTAATATCCACACTCTTGTGCACACACATACAAACTCATGCAAAGTTATTTGTTGACAAA